CAGCCCCAAAGACCAGCACTTCAAGCACTGTCATCATCTAAATGGTTAACGAGCTGAAGTTCCCTATCTGCCCCTGTGAACAAACAGGAAGGAGCTGAAAAGATTTCAAGGGAGATCATTTTTTTTTTTTTCCCCCCCTTCCCATTTGGTGGAAAGTATTTCTGCCCACAGAATGCAAGATTCACAAAAATGTTGGACAAACTTCATCTGACCCCATCCAAAGCTACTTCTCACGCAGTGCTTTGCTAGCCAAGCTGCTTAATGAACAGGCCCATGTTTATCTGGGCTAGTCACTTGGTTCCCTTCTCCTGGCTGCACATGTTGTGCCGAGGGAAACGAGGGGATCAGCAAAGTTCCTGTCCAATATAGAATGAGGAGCAGCTCCTTAAAAACTTCTCTATCTGCTTGCACACATATTTAAGGAGAGCACAACCAATTATTCCAAAGGGAAGGGTCAGCCCTGGCATCTCCTCTTTCTTTTGGGGTTCAAGGTGCTGGTCCTATGTCACGGTCTGTCTACTGCTCCAGCAAACTACAACCAGAGGGAAGCTTTGGGAAGCTGACCCTTCCTCTTTAAATCTGTATGCTTTGAACACTGAATTTGAGCAAGACTAATCCCCCTCCCCTCACAGCATCTTTGTTCTTTGGGAATGTTATTTTGATTCTGTTGCTCCAAAAGCAGAGATTGCAAATCAACACAAGGAAACTTGCATGTAAGAAAATCTGATTTAAAACATGATCTAAACAAAACAACCCCCAACCTGTTATAGTGCTTTGTAAATCTGCTTGTAAACCCTTTGAACCTGCCTCTTACCCCTCCCTCTCCACCAGCAGTACCTGTTTAATGTCTGCACAATGCAGCAAGCATACCAGACTTACTAACATTTCAGATTTTTATTCCCTGTTAGTGTAACAAAAATAAAAAATAAACAGACATTCAAAAGCAGAAGTGAGATTGTTCAAGTACCAAATAAGGGGCTTTCCCAACCTTCAGGTGTGATGCTCCTGTAGCTATTCTGCTGTTTTAAAACAGCCACAACATTCAGTTCTGGACCTGGTGCCACCCAAGCCTGCAGAGAGCCCAGGATTTGGAGCAACCAAGACCCTCCTCCTTCCCCTGTCCTACCCAAAAGAGCACTAAGTGTCAACGTTCATTTCCACAGTCCCCATTACAGTTGCCTGGCTCTGAAAATAACAAACTTTGATTTTTGCCCTGCTGTGACTTGAATTCAGGTAGGCTTAAATACAAGCTCTTTTCCTGGGAATGGTTTTTGGTTGTGGAAGTCTTGCTTACACTAGTGTTAGTGAGAAAAGAATCAGGCCCATCACATTAAATGGAAAACTTCTTTACCATCTGCCATATCAAGAGACATGGGTGTGGAAAGAGCTTTGATTTTTGGCATGAGACAGAGGGCTGTACTGGGTATAACTCTGGATTGCAACTACCACTGGTGCAAAGCAGCTGCCTCATCCACTGCTTCTGAGAATTAAAAAAAACCAACAAAGTACAATGCCCAAATCTAGAGCACTCCAATATCAGAAGGGGACTGATCACATATTAGTGCTTCACACACTAGTGAAGGGTCTGTCAGGACATCTCTCTGTTTCTAGGTTGGTCCATCATGTTCTAAGTTATTACTGGTAATCAATAAAGAAACTAGTCGGAAAAGATTTATTACTTACTAACTTCAAAAACATGGCACTCATGGCTGATGCAATGGGGCCAATGGCAACTGTGGAAGTAGACCTGATTTCCATCCATACCAATATAAAATACTGAATCACCCCTGATCCCTGCAAATATACTTCAAAAGAGATTAGAAGAAACTGTGCATATTTGAGCTTCAACTTCCCCCACCCCCATTTAACACTGTGCAAAAGTTATTTATGTAACTCTACATATATATTTAATACAATATGGGTCAATGAGATCAGTACTCCTCTAACTGCAGTCTGGTAACAGACAGCTGCTACAACAGTGACACTATTTCCCCCTCTTTCCTCCCGATGTTTTGACTCTTGAAACAAAAACCTTCTCACATCGTACTGTTTGAAATGAACTTGAATTCCTTTGTTTTGCCTTTATGTTCACGTTTCCTGTATTTCTTTTAGGCTTAACAGCTGCTTTTTGAACAAGGGTCTAGTCTGCACCTCACAGGCCCACTTCTGATTTCTCAGTCATGCAAGTATAGAACAGCTCCTGGAAGCCATGGGTTTTCTCACAGGTCTAACACTACTGAGCAAACAGAATAAGGCTGAGCACACTGAGCACAGTAAGCACAATGAGCACAGCAGGACTGAGCCCTCGCCCCACAGATCACACTGGCTACACGTGTCAGGCAGTTTTATTCCCATTTTCGTTTGTCCTACAAGTGCAAAATGAATGTAAAAAGGATCTATGCAATGGCATGTGAGAGTCAAACGGGACCAACTGTAGCAGCTAGGACTTCAGGTGCCTAAACCAAACACAAAGAGGCACAAGGCCTCGGAGACTGCTGAGGAGAACGGAGCCAAATATGAGGAACATGGGCAGAGTCTGCTCACAGCCCTGACCTGAAGGTTTGGCAATGCAGAATTTCACAGAATGCTTCAAGATGGCTTATTGGCTCCAAGTGCATCACTCACAGCAAATACATCACCTGCGATTAGCAAAGAGATCTCAGAGAGCAAGGGGCCAGAATCCCAACTCACTCACACCACTAGAAAGCCAAGCTACCTTCACAGACGCCAATGGAATTACACTGTATTTACCTTGGCAGAGCCAGGGCTGGAGCCTGGACCAAGACCTCACAGGATCAGTCAGATTCCACTACTGCGAGACTTCAGACAGTCCTGCTTTGCTATCCCACTGCTGTCAGTGCTGTGAGGGTGTGCCAGGATTTATGAGCCTGAAAGCAGACCTGTGTTTGTTTAAAATAAAACCAAACCCTATCTAAAAATGGGGCAGATGTGAAACACTTGGGCCAGGTTGTCCCTGTCACAGAAACAGGGATCAGAAATACATACCCTATCAGCCTCCAACATTAACACTAAGTGGAGGAGAGTCCAGCAAGACTGCAAAGGCAGAGGAAACAATCAGACACTCCTCTTGCACAGGTTTTCCACAGGCACGAGGCACCTGGCTATCATTTGTGCCTTTGAACTGATTTATCGCATCCAGCATTTGGACTCAGCCCAGCACCAATGGAATGTTAGATGGACAAGAGGTGTGAGAATGACAGCTTTACAGCTACCAGATTAGAACTGCAGATTATCCAAGCTGTAGGGCAAGTTTCTTTAAAAAGAAAAATTTCCACGTCCATATACCACTGAGGAATCCATTTGAGATTTTCACTAAGAGCAAAAACTACATCTTGTTCTTCCTATCCAAGAGGCAACAGGAGAGAAGGGACACATGAGATATGGGTCACTTTGACATAGCACCTTGCCTGAATTTTCTTCTTCTCTCACCCAGTTTTAGGTAAGTTTTGTAGTTTTTCATTAAATTAGGTGTCATCTACAGAATTCTTTACCTGAAGATTGCACTCTGGCTGATTAGAAAGTGCCTGGGATGCATTGGGGTCGTTAGTGCAAAATGAAACATCTCACAGGCCTGCCAGGCAACCAGACTACCCTTCCTGCAAGGGCTGTCAGTGCTCCACTTCCCTGCTTGCAAATTCCCAACATTCAGTGAAATAATACTTCCAGCATAAACATCAAACATCAACAAGCCTGGCACTCACTACTGCCCAGGCATTACAGAACAAAACACCATTTGAACAGGAAATAAGCCCCCAGGTCAGAAGCAGGTCTGGAGCATTCTCAGACCTGCACGACTGTCTGCTTCCTGTCCTGCACAATGGGCCCATTGGAAGGGAACTGCTTCCAGTAATGGGAACAAAAGTAACTTTCAAGGTTGCACACTGAACAATCACTTTGCCAGTTGTGCTTTGATGCCAAGAAGTTCAGTTTGCCAATTTTAGCTCTTTTTCATTTTAGAAGCTTAAGGAATGGAAATAAGCTGCTTTGTATATTTACCAGGGAGGGGATTTATTGGATGATTGCTGTACTTGATGAAGCCCAGGACTACCCACTCCAGTATTTGACAGCAGCTCTTGCCAACGATGGTACCAGACATCAAAAACTGAGTGCAGCTCTCTTCCCTTCTCATGTTTTGCATCATGTCCAAAATAACTACAAGGGAATTGAGATTATACCAGTGTAAAATCTTGCTTGGCTGCAGTGGTGTGAGGGTTCAGAACCTAGTCTGCAAAGAACAACCCAGAGGAGGTCTATAATTAGCATGCTCACTGCTATACAACTGGAAATGACTACACTGCATGAAAGCATTTGGTACAACAAGCCATCCAGAAGCATTTGATTGCACCTACCTCTTCTATACCAAAATCAAGTGTTACAAGAGCCTGTCATTGTTCAGCAAGAGAACTACAACAGGTGAGTGCAAGCTTCATTCTAGTTTACATTCTGAAGCACAGTATCATTACAAATACAAAACAGAGTCCCAAGCTAAGGAATGGGAGGAGGGAGGGGGGGGGGGGGGGGGGGAAGGCGG